AAAGTTGATGACCAATCTCTTTTGTTGTGATCTTGATGTTTGTTTGAGGTAAGGAGAAATTAGATGTTGGTCACTCTTAGGAGGTTAAAATGTTAAATTATTAATGCATATTTGATATGCAAGTTAAACAGGAATAACAATGAAATCAGTGGTTCAGTTACTAAACACAAGCTGTACTGGGTAAGATTGTGCTTGTGTGGCCTTTGACACAAATTTGACATGTAGCTCTCTGAATCTGTATGGAATTAAAACATGAAGGAGGAGTTCCTTCATATCAATGCCTTGGTTACTGCTTCTTTTTCAGAGACATTAACTTGTATCCATTTTCTCAGCCTTGTTCTCCTTGACTGTCTTTCCCTCTGGTTTCTTATGAATTTGCGGCTGTGTAACAACTAAAAGGAAAAAATTAAGGGAAAAAAACCATTCATCTGCATTCCTCCCCTAGATTCACAGCTTAAGTATTATAACAGTTGCTACTGCCTACAGTTTGCTGCCATATAAAGAGTGCTATAAAGCATTTTCACCCTTTGACTTTTCCTGTAACTTTTCCCTATAATATCCATACATTATCCACCAAACAGGTAATGAGAATACCCTAACTTATCAGGTAGGATTTGTTGTCTTGATATGACAAAAATTCTTGCAGCTAAGTTACAATGCACAAGGAAATATAAAGTAGCCAGAGGGGAGAATTAACATAGATTTTGAGAGTTTAAGGGTTAAAGAAGAATTGAATGGGTATGTAATTTTTGGTGTCTGGCATACAGTAACAGCATAGGGTAGTTTAGATGAATATTACTACATGTTGAGTAGGGTCTCAGCAGTTTACCATCCATAAAAATGAAATTTGAATGCCATCAAAATATCATTTCAAGGAAACAACAATAAGAAACTACATTTACCAATTAATGCAGCACAAGGCAGCATTTTAATGTTTTTCCTCTGTAACAGATTCCTCTGATAACTTGAAGGACATATTCTGATTGACCAGGGGAAATACTTTGAGGATGACATTTTTTGACCAACTCACAGTTTGCCTCTCTATCATGACATGAGTTAATAAAATAATTCTCAAAAAACAAAGGACAGTATTTACTTAAAAACACAAGGGTTAAACCTGATACAAATTCATTTTCATCCGTGTCATTACCATGAACTTTCATGATAAGAAGGAAGGTAAAGTCTATATTCTAGCCAGTTGGCCCATGTGGCCAGAGCTTATCCCAGTTTCCATAGCAACAAGGAGTATTTACTACTACCCCCTGAATGGGATGCCAGTCCATTGCAAGGTTATCCTGAGGATTTAATCAGATTTCCTTGACAATTTTCCAGTATCCATTTATACCCCTGGGCAGAGAAAGGCACTGTGAGAGTAAAGTGTTTTGCCCAACAACACAACACAGTGACCTGGCCTGGTCTCAAACCCAGACCTCTCAGCCCAGAGTCCAGTGCACTGACCACTCGGCCACTGCATCTCCTACTTTAATGATAAAGGATCCTGAATGATGCTCTCAAGCATGTCTTCTACAAGAGATCTTGGCAATATTTTCCAACCTGGGAGATTCCATGCATTTGGAAGTAAGCTGGGCTGTTTTATTATCATAAAGTATAAGTTGCTTTCAAAAAAAAAAAAAGGAGTAGATATTGCATCTTATCTAGCTTATCTAGAATTCCTCCTACAGTGAAGGTCAGAATTAAGCGAACATTACAGATGCAAACTTGATGCATGTCTGATTCCAATACGCGTATACTCTGACACGTCAGATACGCGTCAGTGCTGCGTGCGTCTATTCTTAGGTTTTCTGGTACGCCCTTATCCATTGAAAAAAAAATTTAAAAAGTAAGAATAATATACACTAGTTACCTTCCATTGCATTTGCTTCTTTTTCTTGCTTTTTGATTTGTTTCATAATAAGCCTCTTCTTTTTGGCTGAGATCAAAGCACCACCCCTCTGGTTGTTACTAATAAGAAATGTTCATAAAAGGAGAAACGTATAAATTATCATCACATTAAGAGGTTGGGAACATTCCTACCTCACAAGCTGTAAATTCCTCTCTAATTTTCAAAGATTTTTGTGACCAAAACAACCCCCACTCCACCCCACCCCCCTCTGCCCAAGGCAAGTCAAACAGGTCAACCCTTACGCACAAAAATAGCATAGGAGAGGGAATGTTTCTTGTTATGTATTTTCTCTCGAGTAATTAAATGCTGATTCACAGGGATGCCAACCGCATCAACTCTTTTTCTTTTCTTCTTCTTTTTGGAGGAATACCAGGTTTCTTGTATACCTTTGTTTGGATCCTTTATTTTTCTGCTGTTGCTTCTTTTTCTGTGCTTTTTTCACTCTCGTGAGCTTGCAAATGTTTTTCTGTAAAGCCTGAAAAAATTAAGTATAAAATTGTATTTAACATAACTGAAAACCTCACAGAGTTCAACTGCAAGCTTACAAACTTGATGAATGTTCCGGCGAACTTTCAGTTATCGTCAACTGACCGAAACTACTCCTAACGATTGACTTTTAAAGGCCGATTTCCATTCAGATGGAACCTAATAGATTGGGCCGGTGGCTTGCAGGGCACATGCAACACGTGCTCAAATCTCAGATGTTTTGGCAAACGAAACTGCCATCAAAGGTATACTTACTGTTTTTGGGCGATTAATTTTGTCGCCTCCTACCATTGTAGATCCACCTAATTGTATCAGAAATCCACAGTGTTCCTGAAATGTTTCCCTACGTTTTTAATCGACTTTGTATTCAACTGTCGAGTAAGTCACGGAACGTGCGTACACTCGTTCGGTCAGCGAGACAGATATATGAGCCCGCAATATATCAGTCGGTTACAGAAAAACAATAACCATCTGACCATCTGCGATGGCTGATAGCTTATAATTTCTCCCCTTTTTATTGAATCTGATGATTTATGTATCTGTCAAACAGTTCATTGCTACTGCACGATATAGATTTAAACTCAGATCACCACTTGAGAGCTCTAAAGAGATAAGGTACCGTTTTTTTGGATTCTTCAATCGGCGAGAATTTGCCTTCATAACCGGGCAAGTCATGGGAGACAATCAGCTGACCGATTCTGGAGCCACTCTCGTCGCAGTTTGTCAGATGAACTCCACCAGTGATGTAGAACGTAACCTGGGAATTTGCAAAGATTTGATAAACAAAGCCAAGTCCAGAGGGGCCAAGGTGAAGATGATATGGATTTTAAAATATTTTGGCCCGCTATCACCCTCCCCTCCCTCCCCCCCCCTTTACAAAGTGCGTGGGTTCAAGTTCGAAGCCTATCCCTTCACCCCTCACCCCTGAACACGCACTTCTAATACCCTTGCCCCTTTTCCCTCACCTCCTAACTCCACCTTCCAATTCTTACCTCTTACCCCTATCTCTTATCCCATGCTCCAAGCTTCATACCAGGCCTCCCAGATTAAGAACTTCTGAACAACCTATGTAAGAGTTTACATGTATACATGCAGGAATCGTCTAGAGCAAAAAAAAAAAAAAAATGAGCCTTCCTCAATCAATTCACCCAGCTAGTGGCAACTCATTTTCATCTTACAAATACATTTGCTCAATAGAGTGTAAGAAGAGATTTTCAATTGTTTTCTTACAACACGTTTTCCTGAAGAACAGATAATTCCAAGGAACAAACAGGGGTCAAAGCAAGAACTACCTATTTGATCCTGTGCTTGAGAATTTGACCAGATAAGGGTAAAGATCTCTTTAGTTCACCAAAACACCAACTTCCTCTATTGCAAAAGACTAATTTTACCTATTCACCTTTATAGGTTGTGTTTCTTCCTGAATGTTTTGACTATGTGGGAGAAAACAGTGAACAATCTTTGTCAATGGCAGAACCACTGGAAAGTACAAGAATGCAAAGTTTATGTGAATTAGCGAAAGAACTGGGTGTGTGGCTCTCTCTTGGTGGATACCATGAAAAGGTTCACTTTTGATTCTAAGTATTTGAATCATGAGTTAGCTTGGTAACATTTTAAAAGATTTAATTAAAATCAGAATATTGGTGGTAATACTTCATTTGATCCTTTATCCTAGCAGAATCAAATATTTATTAAGTTAAACCCTTTAACTCCTAAGATCTGATTGTAATTTCTCCCCTCTTGCTGTGACACATTTCCTTGTAAATAAGTTATGAGAAGTAGGAGCTGGATCAAGATAATAACTTCTACCTGATAAGGTTGAGTATTCTCATTACCTGTTTACTGGATAATGTATGGATATTATAGGGGGAAGTTGTATGTTAACTACTTCTGTGAGTTAAAGGGTTTAGAAGAGGTTGGTTAGGCTCTCAAAGTTTTGCTTTTTTTATCTCCTTTTGTTCCTGAAATGTTATTGGTATTACATAAGGATAGGTCCATCATAATCTTTATAATGTACCTTTAGTTGGTGGTCAAAGCTATCAAATCGAAAATAAATCATTATATTTGCCTGATATCTTGTAGTAATGGCCAGTTAATCAAATTTCCCAAACCAAACAGATCAATTGTTCCACAAGAAAGACAACAATGTCGCCTGATATCTTGTAGTCATGGCCAGCCAATCTACCTTCTCATGCCAAAAAGTTCAGTGTTACACAAGGAAGACAACATGATGAGTGAATGGAAACATTTAAGTACCATGTATTGCGATATTTGGCAATACAGCAAAGATTTGAAATTCAATTGAAGGAAAAATCTGGGTGAAATCAAATTAACAACATTTTCATGTCAGGTTAAGTACTTGTTTCGATTGAGTGTCATGAGACCAAAACCACAGTGATTGCACATGAAACTAATGAGAGCTTAAAGTAAAAAATATTAATTCCCAAAGTGAAAACATGTCTACTCACTTTGTGCTTGGACCACAAATCTGATGGGAAACACCCAGTCTGTGACTTACGGTACAGACCTCGAACTTGGTTAGTAAGAGGTGTGTATGCCTTACACTGCTGGGGTTAGAAATATTCTTAGTTAGCAAAGGAAGGAAATATTTTTCCTTTCATTTGGGAGCTCAGGCAAGTAATTAAGTATGTAAGTTTCAGTTGTCATCAGTATTTTTTTCCATTTTTAATGCACTCTTAAACCACAGGGCCCACCAGATGACAAGAGGCTGCGTAACTCCCATGTCATTGTTAATGACCACGGCTCCATAGTTGCAGTGTATCGTAAAATACATCTGTTTGATATTGATGTAAAAGATGGACCCAGGCTTAAGGAGAGTGACACCTGTATCCCTGGTGACCAGATAGTACCACCTGTGCCCACCCCTGTGGGGAATGTTGGCCTGGCCATTGTATCCTTTGCATAATGAACATTTAAATGTGGTTCAGGTTTCCTTCCATTAAAGTTTTTTCAAACCAGCTTGATTTTTTATTCTCTTTGACTAAGATGGGCCGAAGACAAAAATGACAGTCAGACTGGCTTGAAAAATTAAAAAGAAAGGAAACTTGGAATAAGGCACATCATGATCATCTGTCAACTGTTAGTCTTAAAGTATTAACTTTATTTTCACAGTGCATCACACCATCCAGGCCTCAGTTACTCCAAGGGTGGATGAGGCTATCTACTGGATAAATTGCTATTTAGTAGATAGCACAGTACATTATGTTAACAGTTATACGCTGGATAGAATTTATCCATTGGATAGCGTTACCCGCCCTTTGAACAGCTGGCTCTGGCAAACACTCAACGAAGCTTGAAAAAATTCTGGGGGCGATAGGGAGGGGCAGAGCTCGAAAAATATCTGAATTACACCTTGCCCGTTGGACAAGTAACCCTTAAGTTTTGCTTGCCCGGGGCACTTCCCTGCTTTCCCAAGTTTTCAAACTAATTAATATTATATGAACCCAAGAATAGATTTCAATGTAATAATTTATATAACACTTTTTATTCAGTGTGGAGGCGCCCAACTTGCATGTTTCGCCGAAAACAGAGATTTACCTGGATTTTAGCATCAAAGGGCTAGCTTCGTTTTCGCGGTAGAAATATACGACTTCTCAGTTTTCACGTACAATTTCTACAGTTTTAATTAATATATCGCTGTTGAGTTAAGTTTTGAACAGAGAAACCGAAACATTCTCGCGGGAAATTGCTACAATTAAGAAATAAACACAGCATTTTCGTTCCCAACGCGGATATTTTTATCCTGGAAAGAAATTTGTTCGGGGAAGATTTTGATCACGTGCTAGGCAACCACTTCTGAGCCGTGAGCGCGCGTCACGCAATCAACAAAACAACGCTATAAATTGTAATTTTCGTCAAGCTTCATCTAAACACTTGATTACCCTTGGGCCTAAAGCTTACCTTTTCTTCTCAAAATCGTTATCAAAAATTTAGTCGGCGAACGGCTTGCCC